GTCAGATTTTAAACTAAAAGGCAAAATAGTCAGGTTGTTCTTAGGTGGAGATTTTCATTTTATCGATGATGTTCTGGGACACCAGGGTTCAGCTGCTAGCTTTCCTAGTTCTACAGACCTAGTTAAGTTGAATTTTCTAAGAAACCATGCTTCTATGCCTCACACATCTGCTAATTGTAACATCTTAAGGAGGACAATACAATCTCTGGAAAGTGCTTACAATGAGAACTTGTGTGAAAATAGACAAGGTGGAAACCTAAGAACTTTAGGTAAGTTTCATAATTCAATTATTGCTCCTGTGATTTTCCCCATAATAACTTTAGATAATGTAGTGCCACCTGTTTTGCATATTATGTTAGGAGTTGTGTTAAAACTGTATAAGTTATTGTTGAAGGAGTGTAAGACTTTAGATTGTCAAGCTGTTTCGTCTTTGTCGCATAATGAGAATGTGAGAACGAATGAATTGTGGGCTGCTAAAAGCATTGAATGTTCTAAAACAGCAGAAGCTTTACGTTTATTAGGAAATCAATTTGTAGACGTTGCAAATCTACAGGCGCGTTGGTTAGCTTTTAATAAAAATATTTCTGAATTATCTCTAAACTCCTCCAATAAAAAAATAACCTGTAAATAGCAAGAAATGTGTGATAGTATTAGGTGTTTAATTACAAAATCCGATTGTAACATTGATTGGGTGCAGTGTGGTACGTGCCAAAAATTGTTTCATCAATTTTGTGAAATTATTGGTGATTCGGAAAAGAGTGTATTGTGTGACATTGAGAAGTATGAGTGTTTAGCATGTCAGGGTGAAGATATAGAATGTCTTGACCTTTATATTTCTGAAAAAATTTCTTTTATACGTGCACAACGCGAAGTTTTAGACACTGAATATATTAAATTGCAGATGGAGTGTGAAGACCTAGAAAAAATATCCAAAAGTAGCATGGGGACTCATGAGAGGTCTCTTAATAAGGCCCTTGAAGATATGAAGGTTGAGCGACAAGCGTACCATGGTAATGTGTTTGTAGGTAATCATTGCAAAATAGTCTTAAGAAACCACTATAAACTTTGTAGTGTTATTGATGATGAAGCTATTAAAAATAGATTTGTACGTGTGTTTAGTGTTTTTAATAAGTTGCAACCTATTCTATTTAAGCGAAAATTTCTTTCAGATGCCGAAACTTCTGAGCTTCATCAATATATAAATTTATTTGCTATCGAATTTCACGATTGCTTTCCAAAAGAAAGTATCACGCGAAAAATGCATGAACTCATTTTTAATGTGCCACTATTTGTAAAATTGCATAAAACTATTGGGTTGCTGAGTGAAGAGGAGGGAGAGAGTTTGCATAATAGCGTAAATAAGGAATTAAGACAGTTGCATTCAGTAAGAAATCAGGAGCAAAAGCTGCATCTTGTTTTAAAACGCTTTGAATTGCACAGCAAAGCTGATAAGAAGCTTCAAGCCTCTAAGGTGAGAAAGTGTGTTGTGTGTTCTGAGCGTGGCGAAAATTCATTTTATAGACAAGGTCTTTGTCTTGTTTGTGGTCATCAAATTTAGTTAAAATATTTAAAAAATTAAAAACAAAAAAAACTATTTAAAAGTAAGATAAATTATATGAGATCTTTAATTTGTATATAAGATAATTTTATTCTGCTCTAATATCTGTGTGATGTTAGTTTAAAATATTATTTTTTAATATATTGATTTTATATATTAGGTAGGTGCCCATTCTGTTCCTAGCTTCAGAAGTTATTTATACCTATGCAATACCTTTGCTCAGGTTAAAGAATGGAATACTAGTCTTGCATCAAATGTATGTAAAAATCTAGCTTTTATATATTAACTTGTGATCAGAGCAACTGGTATGTTGGTTGGGTATGATCTGTTATGTTTGTGTATTTAATTTAAAAGATGTATTGTCCTCCATTATATGTAACATTTTTTTATAGATATATTACATATCCATTCGATGTTTATCACCAGAAGTTAGTTCTACCTTTGCAGTACCTCTGCTTTACATACCTCCTTGCTGGTTAAAGAATGGAATATAAATCTCATATCAAGTTGGTGTAAAAATTTAGTTCATTAAGTTGAGAATTTATAAACGTTATCAAAATTTTGAGTGGAGCAATTGTTTTTCTGGTTTAGCATGAGTATGAATCTGATATCAATTGTATGTTCAAAGATAGTTTACTTCTTAAAGAACCTATCAGTAAACCAACTGATTATAAAACAGTTTTTAATGGGAATAAAAACAAATTTTCAAAAGATTTCAATTAGCTATTTGTATATTCAAACATTTTATTTACTGAGAGAAGAGACTATAGATTCAAGTGCTATAAAATAATTCTACTACCAAAAGCAAGGTTAATTCAAAAACTGAAACTCAAATTTGGTCATGAATTATTTTATTAGACTTGGTGAGTCTTTATTTATTAATAACTTAACACCATATTATTAGAACTGTATGCACAGAAAAAAAAAAAATACTTTAGCTTTAAATGTTTTGACTAAATATTCCAAAATCGAAATCTGTCTTTTTATTGCAATGCAATGAACTTATTGGCTTAGGATAATAAGTTTCTAAAACAAGAACTTCTAGGTTTAAAAATGTACTCTTTTAACAGCTAATCCCCCTTTTAACTACATTTTTCATAACTTTGCGAAAAGTGCGGTTTGCTTTCAGACCTCATTAAAGTCTGTTTTAGCTATCCTTAAACAATTAAATAAGGTTTTTTTGTTTTTATAATAGTCAAACAATGGGTATATTTGAGATTAACTATCAGAAATAAATTTTTCTGATTTTTTTTTGATAAAAAGTAACATCAAATTACTTGAATTCAGCCAACGTCATCATTTGTCGCGTTTTTTTTAAACTTAAAGAAATTTTTTTACTAATGCATTAAATGTCATAAGATTAAACATTTTATTGGTGCTATTATTCTTTTTACAAAACAAAATTATCTTTAATATTTTAAAAGTTATAGAAGTTTTAGTAACACCCCTTAAGTCAATATTCTCAAAAAATAACAAGAAGCCGTTAAGCTCGGTTTGAAACAGCCGTGTATTCTATAAAGCTTATAAAACTTTTATCTTTTTTTTTTCCTTAAACACCAAAGTTTTGAGAAATCCAACTTTATATCATCAACTATTTTAATACTCTATAACTATCATCTTTACTTTCTAGTAACTCACAACTTAAACAATAGTTGCTTATTGGAAATAATTTTGTATTTTGAAAAATCAACTGCTTAAAATCTAAGTACTATCAAAATTTGATCAAGCATTAAGTAGTAAAAGTATATTTCATCATTTCTAAAAAAATATTCAAGTTAATAAAAAAAAATATTTATATAAAACCTTAAATTTTGACAAGTTATACAATTATTTTAATTAGTTTTAAAGTTATAATACTCTGTCATTTTTAGTTTATAATACTTTAAGTTAGTGAAATAAAATTATACTTTTTAATTTACTATATGGCACAGTAAAACTTATAAATTAGTTTTATAAGAACACAAATCACAAATCATCACAAATCATCACAAATCACAAATCACAAAGAATCACAAATCTAGTAAGGTAGACATTACTTTAAAAAATTTATTCTTTGACAGATACTTGAAGTTATAAAAAGTCATTGCACTTAATATTAGTGAGTATTACACATAAGCTTTATAATATAACTTATTATAATTTATATTATTTGTTTTTATATTATCACTCATTATATTTTGAAGGAAAGTTTTACCTTAATCTATTATCAACTAGATTATATATTAAAATTCTAGACAGTTAACCTACTTTGTATGTGGCAAGATAAGCTCCTTAGCCATGTAAGTTCAACTTACATATAAGAAAACTCTGATATGAAACTCCGCCATTGTGATGTAAGGGTTAGAGTACTCAGTGTAGTTAAGGTGATTTACAATTTATTTTACAAATAAATATTTATTTGGAATTAGCATGATTTTATCAGCGTATTATGTCCAAACAAGAGCTTTAGAAGTTATAATTTTTTTTGGTACAGGTTTTTTTAATATTTAAAAAAACTTTTCTTTTTTTATACAACTTTTTACTAACCCTCATAGTGAATCTAAAGAACACCATTTTGGAGTCTTTAGATCACTTTCGCTCATCAACGTTTAGATAAACATAGTTAACATCTTTTGAAAAAGTGCCTTAACCCACTAAAGATCCTAGTTCTAATCAATTCTGACATATATTACTTATATATAATGTCAAAATACAATATTTCTATCAATTTTCACAAAAAATACTAGAATTTCGACCAAGAAAGAGCTTATAATTAAGACAAATTGCCAATAAATGATCAAAACAGATCATTTATTGGCAATTAAAATATTAAACTGTGATGATCATTTCACCTAAAAAATGTATTTATTTAAAATCTTATTCAAATTTAGACAAGCGATTGTAATTTTAGTAAGATTTTTTTTTAAAAAAAGAAACTTCAGTCTGAGTTTTCTTGCTACAAACATTTATATTTTATGATACCACAAAATTTATCATTTAATTTTTTTTATCTTTTCATAATTCATAGATCTGATTATTTAACGGAAATAGGTCAAAGTCAACCAAATATCATACAGACGCTATAATATTTAAAATAACTATAATAGGCACTATAATAATAAAATTGCCTTAACTACAACGAGTAGCTCCTAATCCTTGAATGGCAATTTCCTAGTGGTAGTAATACAATACTACTATCAGTCCTAGTATCTAAGTCCTGATATATGCAAAACAAGTTTATATGCAATATTATATTATATTAAATGCGAAAATATAAAACAAACTATATGCATAACAACATGCCTTTACCAGAGTTTATTCTATGAGTCCTTGACTATTAGTATTATAAAGCTGAAAGTGCAAATAAAACTCTCAGTATGAGTAAAATTTAAGCTTTACTATTTACTGGAGTTCTTCCAAATAAAGTATTAAAAAAGAATATTATATAAATACTTTGACTTACTAGTTTGGCTCCTACTCCTGCTGTACCAGCAGCTCCAAGAAATAAATATCGTAACTTTGAAAAGTGACGTATAGCGTTTAGAATAATAAAATGTCTTTGTTGTGCATGGAAATTAAACTTGGATTTAAAAACTCGTTTTTGTGATAATACAGAAAAATATCTAGAACATTTTGCAGCTTTATTCAGTTTTGTAAGGTTAAAAAGCTCTTTGTTTGTTATAATTACAAAATTTCCACTCATTTTGACACGAATTTCAACACATAAGTACTTTTACACAACTTTATTATTTACATGTCACTTTTCTATTGTTAACTAAAAAAATAATTAAAAAATCATTAATTTAAAAAAATTGAATTCTAACCCAAATAAATAGATTGTAATTTCAAACCATAAAAAATCTTAACTATTTCTTTTTTTTTAATACTATTTACAATAGCATATATAGAATACATTTACTATGCAGAATGCATAAATATAAAAAAATGCAGAATTTTTATATACAGACTTTTCAAGTAAAAAAAAAAAAGTAAAAAACAAAGAATATTGAAAAAAAAAATTTATTGCTGCACTAAAAAAAACCCTCATTCAAAGTAGCCACAACTCCTTTGCATGTTCTCCATAATGATGTCAATCTATGTACAGCTCTGAAGAGCGATCTGACTAATCTAACTACAGTTCCATTAGTCTCCTTACTATCATAAGCAAGGTTATTGAGTCTTTAATTAAGAAAGACTTAATCCTTCATCTTGAAACTTATTTTCTGATGATCAATATAGATTTTGATCTTCTCATTCTACTGCTGATTTGCTGACAGTAATAACCAATAGGTTTTATCATGCGGTAGTGGTGTAGTGGTAAAAACACTCGCTTCATAAGCGAGAGGTTCCGAGTTCGATCCCCACCGCGTCCCTGGTAGTACAGCGCTCAACTCGTTTCTCCGCGCAGCGGCCTTGTTCGTCAAAGTTCGTGTTTCGGAGTTATAGAGTTGAGAGAGGGTTATAAACACTATTAAGTAGCCTCCTCATCTGTAGTGGCCTTCTCGGCCTTGAGGAGGTGAATAACAATAAAAAAAAAAAAAATGTATTAGATAGATGTGGAGAGATTAAGGCTATCGCTATCTACATTTCTAAATCTGTTGATAAAATTTGGCATGCTGGTCTTTTCAATAAGCTCACTTTTTATGATGTATCAGGTAACAACTTTCAGATTATTAAATTCTTCCTTACCAGTCATATAAAAGTTGTTCTTGATGGACAGCACTCTTATGGGCATTTCTATTTCTGTGCATGATTTTTTCTTTTTCTTTGTTTTAACAATTAGAAGCTGGGACTTAAACCGATATGCATACTATTTTGATTTTCTTAAAGAACAATCAAAACAAACATATTATTATTATTATATTTTAGGCTACCTAAATAAATTAAGTATATGAACTTTTATCTTTTTATTTTTTTTGTGTGTAAATGTCACAGTTTGAAAAATATACAATAATTTATCAAAACCCAATACTTAAACTAGAAATATTTGATTAGTGTTATTTCTCATTAAAAATATATAATAAATATAAATAATAGAAGTATATGTATTTCACATGAAATACTTACGAGCAATTTATTTTCACAAAAATAACGACATGAAATTGATAAATTCACAACTTCTGTGTGTGACTTTCTTGCATGATTTATGAACTGTATTTAAACAACTGCTATGACTCTATGATACATAGTGCAATCCTGTAACTTTCTGGAAATCTTTACTAATGTTTAAAATAATATTTCAAAAAAAAAAGTTACCGATAAAAGTTACATTTTCCAAGTAATTGAAGTTTATTTATCTAATAAATAAATTTTATGTTTTTCTGTTCTGTGCGTGATTCCGGTTTAAACTTCATTTATTCTTTGTTAACATTACTAATGTATACCATTTTTTGTTAACAAAATATTTATATATATTAGAATTAAAAGAGAGTAATAAAAATTATAGACAAAATAAATACAAATTTCTGTGCATGATTTTTTGGAAATGCCCTTCTTCATTTACTGTAACTTCAGGGTTCCACAAGATTCTATCCTTGGCCCTATACTTTACATTAATTTACATTAACGATCTTCCAGAAATTCTCATATCTAAGGTGACATTGTTTGCTAATGATGCCACTATTTACTGATGATCAAGACTTCTTATCAAGACAAGAATAATGGTAAATGATATTTACCATTATTCTTGTGTTTATAAGAAGCCAAAACTCTCTGATTGGTTGGAGGGTGCATATGAGCTTGAAAAGGATCTCACTATTATTCGTGCTCGCCATTTTCTTACTCTAGATTCTATTCTTAATCTTTATAAATCTCAAATTCGTCCTTGTATAGAACACTGTTGCATTTTTTTACTCCAGATTTTATTCTTAATTTCTATAAATCTCAAATCCCTCCTTGTATAGAATACTGGTGTAATGATACTGTTGGATCTTTAAATGATGCCCTTTCTCTTTTAAACAAGTTATAAAACGCATTGTTAACATATTCGAACCTGCTTTTGCATCTAAACTTCAACCATTGTCATATTGTTATAATGCTGCCTCTCTTTTTTTTTTTTTATAAATACTAAAATGGACACTGCTCTAAAGAGCTGGCACCATATAATTCATTTACTAAAATTTATTTTTGTGTTACTTGTCATTTATTTTCATCCTTTTACTGTTTCTGTTTGCAAACTTTTTTACTGTACAAGTCTCATACTTTTACTGTTTCTGTTTCAAAGTGCTCCAAAGCTTCTTATTCGTCTAATTTCTTTCCTCAAAAATTTGTTCTTTAGAATTTGCTCCCTTTATCTTGCTTTTCTGATTCATAAAACTTGCAATCTTTTAAATCATTTTTTCATCGTTATTTTGTTTCTTAAACTTCATCTTTTCTTTTCCAGTAACTTATAATAATAACAATAGTAATAATATAATAATGATAATAATAATAATATTAATAATAATAATAATAATAACAATAATAATAATAATAAAAATAGCAATAAAAATAGCAATAATAATAATAATAATAATAATAGCAACTTCTAAAAGTGGTTGCTTAAAAGTTCAACTCTAAAAGCAAATTTGCTATTAAAGTTTTTAAAATTTAATAGATTTTTGAGTTTAGTATTTAAAGGAAAGCACTTTCAATGTCTTTGTGTGAAAGTATGAAATTTTTTTTTGCAGAAACCTATTGTGACATGCAGACAATCTAGCTTAATCATTTGTATGAAATTTAAACAATCTTATGAGTTACATTACTGCTTAATGTCGTTGACCTCATTTGTAAACTAATAGAAAATATTGTTAAAGACAATAATGAATTGTTTAAGCACACCTTATTTAATAGTACCAGAACACAGATATCAAAAGTTTGTGGGATTCAATTCATTAATAACTGCTTTTGAAACTAAAATTATTTAATATTGTTAGTAAATTATTGCAAAAGTGTAAGACTTTTTTAACGAATCAAAAATAGAGTTGTTTTGGGATTTGAACGAAAATAAAAAAACTGTTTAACTAATAATTCAAATAATAAAAAAAGCTACAGAAGCAGTTCTAATGCTACAAAAACATTTCATTATGAATTGGTTATAATGTCATTAGAAAGAGACCAAGGTGTTTGAATAGAAAAAGCATATCGAAATAATGGCAAATAAGTCAAATAAAAAATAGGGTATGTTAAATATAAATTAGATAAAACATAAAAATATAATATATTATAAAACAAGTCACTTTTTAAACCGCTCTAGGAATATACTTTTCAATTAAGGAACCCATATTTAACATAAGACATAAACATAATTGAAGAAGTTCAATAAAAAGCTAAAACATTAGTTTTTTTAAAGGAAACCAGTTATAAAATAAAACTTAGAAAATAAATTTAAAATGAAATATTCATCAAATAGAAGTTTATTTTTTTATAAACTGTATAATTAAAAAGTGGCTCCTACTTTGAGTCTCTTAAGAACACAGCTTTAGTTTATAAAACATATATATATATATATATATATATATATATATATATATATATATATATATATATATATATATATATATATATATATATATATATATATATTATATATATATATATATATATATATATATATATATATATATATATATATATATATATATATATATATATATATATATATATATAACAATAATAATAATCATAATAAAAATAATATCAATAATAAAAATAATAATAGTAATAATAATAACAATAATAATAGTAATATAATAAAACTTGAATTATTGATAAAAAAATTGTTGAATAAGATTTAAATTTTTCTATTAATTGTAAATATGTCATACATTATGATATATACCTAATATAAAATACGAAAACTATAAATTATGAAATATACCTTATACAAATTAGAAAAACAAAGTAAAAACATAGAAATTTAAAATTGGGATTCAAAATCATTAAAAAACAAAATTATTTTAAGTAACCGCTAACATGTAAGAATTTTTTTTTTTTTTTAATAATTTAAACCCTCAAGCGCACTTTGACCGGGAATGTATTTGAAACAGATAAATGCCCATTTCTAATGTTTTCCTAAATGTTAGTTTTGAGCTATTGAATTTAGCCAATGGAGTTTATATAGGAAAAAAGTTTATATTAAAAAAAAGGAATTTAAATGAAAAAGAAGCAATTCAATTTATATTAGGAAAAAATAACTTCTTTAACATTGAACAAAATAGTTAGGAGGTAAAGAAAATCTCTCTAAAGGGTCCAGAAAATATCTTTTTTTACCATAAGTGTTTGTTTTTATAAGGTTGTCCGTGATTGCATAAAGATGATTGGTTAAATTTAGACAGAAACAAAAAAAAATACATGATCTTTTATCAAAATCCAAATCTTATGCTAACACACTTCCCTTCACGGTTACTCTAACATCATAGAAAATTGCGCAATCTTTTGTGAGTGATTTGATTGCTAGACTTGAATAGTGCTTTTTTTTAAATGACTTATTAAAGCTTACAATTGTTCTGAAAGAATTGTTGTTGAAACATCTGACTGTTTCTCCTATCATATTGCTTGCACCAACATACGTTTAGCAATGGCAAATTTAAATAACACCTTAACAGCATGTCCCTAATTGTAACAACAATGTTCTCAATTTTGATATTAGTAAGTTCGCAAAATCTTATAAAATCTTCTGAAACATCTAGATCGCTATTAACAGACTATATGAAAAGTAACTACTGTGCAACATTACTAACTTCCGTTCCTTCATCAGCCATAATGAAAAGAATTTTAACTCACGATTCATTGA